GTCCGTTGGATAGTACTGAGCAGACTCGACAATTTTGAAAGGGGTGGGACCAAGAACGCTTGCGTAAGGGGTAAATTATGGAACTACAAAGAAGCCATACAGGGTTTTATTTCCATTTCAATAAACATGTTATCTTGCAGTCTCCAAAAAAGCTATACAAACTGGAATAATATAAAGTGTATTACAATGACAAAGATGATTGAACTAACTGGATCCGTTGCAGAAAATGATCTCCTGGCCCAGCTTACGGTCGTAATAATTGTGAAATTATTGAGGCCTCGTTGAGTAAGTGCTATTAGAGATAGTCATTACTCTACTAGTCGGCTAACCTAAGCAATAGGAAACTGTAAATTTGCCTTACCCCCCAAACTCCATTACGATTCAATCATTACACATTCATGGTACTGTATCCTTAAAACAAAATTATCTCGACATTTCATTGTTAAGGTTGTTATCAACATAACTAACTCATCTCTGATAGCAAATTGAGGAATATAATATTTATCGATGTAGGTTAATAGATCTTTTTTTTGTAAGAGTTCTGTGTCTTTAAGAGTAGCTCCATCTGCAGGATAAGCTAACAGAGATATTCAGATATTTAAAAAAATATATATATATATATAAGATAACCAACGCTTACGTCTGAATATTCAATAATCTGGGTCGTACTTTGATTTTATTAACAACGACACCAGAAATAAAGGCATTAAGAATTTCCCGTGCAATTGCATAAAGTCATCAGAACAAAGTGGAACGCAATGACCATAACACAAAAAGAGAAGACAGATGTAACATAAAAGACTACAAAACACCGCAGAGTAAGGCACCCGTTTGGGTTGTGTGTGAACCGTATGCTGACGGAAATACCGGTGTAACCTGAACTATCACAAGGTGTTTTCTGCTTGAAGATGGCCAGTTAATATCTAGGCCATGAACCTCATCGCTGAGAGGATTTAAACGATTTAAATGTGTCGCTAATAATCTGAAATTGAATCAGAATGACGCTAAGTACTCCCGCCTGCTAGAGACTGTAGTCCAGCAAAGAGACACCTGCTTGTCGTGTAGAGTCAGGTGCATCGTTATTTGATTAGCGAGGAGTCAGGCAGGCTCTTGCGCTGCTGAAGGAGAGAGAGGACTTCAAACAAACTGGCTCGCGCCTCAGAGTGGGGATGGCTTAACAGGACTGTGCGCAACTCACAATTGGTAACTTTGCCGCGGTGGAATTAGGCTTTAAGAATATAGCCTGCTGTACTCAAATGAAATACGCGTATTATTCTCTGCAGAACCTCATTATCAACAATGGAACCTTTGAAAGCTCGGCTTGAGAAGTTTGTGTTCGTACAGGGAATCTGTGTTTTTACTACCCAATGCTTCAAATCTGGATAAAATACCATATTGTTCCAACTATCCCATCATCAATAACTACAGCATTCCACCTATACCTTCAGCGGTGAAAAGTGTTTTGAAAGTGTGAACTCATGCGGTGGTAACAGTTTACCATTAGACATGTAAAACCATAGATTTGTTGAGTGCAAGTGTAAGCGCTGTCTCGCAACGGTGTTGTCTGTAGAGAACCAACAGTGTTCACTGCACTCTTCACGAGTGTATTTAGTGCAAGTGTGAAATCCTCACCACACCACTCTCGCAGATTTCTGGGGTAGACTTACTTCTGCCGCTCGATTTTACATCACCTGGCAATTAAAGTTGCGAGGCTCTGGCCTGAATTTGAGCGTTCCTCTAGTCCTTGTTGTAAACCACGAGACGTCAAAAATGGAGCTATTTATCTGAGGGTAACATCAAACAATGTTTCACTATTAAATTTGAACACCAGGCATCACACTAATAAAGCTGGTTTTTTTTTCGATTACTATATCTTGGCGCATGATGGAGGGACTTGCCTTGGGGGTGAGTTCTTCGTGACAGGGAACACATTTTGCACTCAGACACTTTCACCAACTACTGTCTTTTTAAACGACTGGATACTTTCATGTTAAGGTAATGTGGCCGATTGGAACCCCTCCAGGAAGGTAGATGCCGGTACCAATGTTTACGCAAATCAACAGCAGTATCGGTCTTTAGTCGAAAGGTCTATAAGGAGTTACTTTTGGAAACTTTTTCCTGCGACAAAATTCTACGTTTTAAGATTGGGCGTTGGTTTATTCGATGCGGAAAGCAACATGACTTTTAACAGATAATTTATGTCGAGGTATCTGAAACCAGAACAGCATCGGTGACCAATATGGACATTCAAGTATCAAAATCGACTGAACTGTTATTTTTTCAAGCCCCGACAGAAATCCAAGTTGAGAGAAGAACTGCTAAGCCAAACTTAGGTCTAACCATAATTATAACCCTTTTGTAACCAATTGTTAGTAAAGCCCAGAGTTTTGAAACTGAAACAATCACCCTTAGATTATTTTAAGATTAGGTTTAAAGACAGAAATGGAAACAAATTGGACCCACGTAGGTGCAGTGTGTTTGAAAGTAGCCCAGTCCTGCTTGTCAATTTATGGAAATGTCGACTGTATCGAAGCTACACGCCTACAGCAGCCTGATTTGCACTTTGGGTGGCCCTGTATTTTTCTTTGAATTCAATTATCAAATTTTGCCCATTTTGTTACTTGAAAATGACGCAGATGGCCCACCCGACTCTGACAACCGTCACATCAGTTAGTCTGCTTGCTTCTCGTCCGCCCCTGCTTCCGGTGAGGAAGGATAGCTTTCCTGAAAGGACAATAACCCACGGTGTTGAGGCAAGCAAAGCTTTTAATCCGACACCGGAGAGATGTCTATAAATGAACTCCAATCCTTGATCTGGTCCCAGGAGGGAAGGTATTTTCAGCAAGTCAATCTACCAATTTGACATATCGTTGTTACTCAGAAAATCTCCTTGCTGTTTCATGCAAGCTTTCCTGTGGCTATATTATGTTTTGCAATCATGATTTACAGAATTAACCACGAAAGCATTTGAGAGCTTTAACTGTCATTTTCACTGCAACTAAGTAGTTTGTGGTATGGGGATTTTTACCGACCTTCAACTCCTTTCTGTAAGGGCAGCATTTATTAAATCCTCTAGAATACTTCAACAGACGTTCTCATCGAGACAATTGATAATGGACAGAGGAGTAGCATCCATGAGGGTAAGGGTTTATTTCCCCCCCCCCGAATGTGAAGCAAGTACCCTTTGCTCTCACCAGTGCATCTTCGTTGAACAAACACCCTGTTGCCCCAGGAATTTCGTTCGTGAGCTTCAGATATATCGTTGCGATGAAGAGCGCCCCCATTGTCCGTGCTGCCCGCTAGGAGTACGGTTGCCATGAAAAGATGGTCTCCAATGCTCGTCTCCAACTGAAGAACTTAACGAAGGCTGAAAAAATACTGTCAATATTTTACCACAGATGCTAAGAGCTCCTCGTTATATTTATCACGCCACCATTTTTTCCATTACTGCTGGAAGTCTCCTATAGTGCCATTTTGACACGAAGAACAAGGGTCACTCAAGTGAAACCACTAGATCCATATTGAATGTAAGAAAGAAAATATTTTCGATATTTCCTTTCCCTTTCAAAGCAGGTAAAGAGCCCCAAATGTAGCTTTCTCCTTTACAATGGCCAGAGAGGCCTACATAAGGGATTTCCTGAACGTCTCCCGTTCCGAAAACCATCTTTTTATCTCTTTCTTTTGGTGAAATGCTCTACAACACCAGCTGACACACCCAACATAGGCCTGCTCCTATGAAGAAAAGTACAGCGGCTATTCGCAAGCTTGTCCGAAATTCTGAAACAAACCAGAATTGGAGAAGAGCACATGTAGTTCTAGGCTAGACGTTCTCTGTAATTACAGGGACATCCACTAAGTGATCCTGGAGCTGTGAGTCTTCAATGAGACTTGCAACAGCCGTCTGCAACATGCGTTTGACACCACTCACCACACAAGCAACGTACCACAGTAACGTGGCAATTGGTATTTAGGTGTTTCCCACAGATACCCCAGTGAGGGCGCCAATCCGCTGACAATCGGATATCGGGACGCGCAAGCTTCTACTGCTTGAGTAAGTGTGTGGCACAATTTTTCCTAAGGAGACGCAGAAGGCTCCGGCAATAACATTTGAAGCTCACAGTGCTCATTTGCCTTGAGATAGTTTCAAATTAGAACATCCAGCTGTGAGTTTGAAGATGGATGTCTAGAGCCACGGGTTTTAAACTGAGCGTCATGTTGTTTTAAGGCTTATTATNTTTATTTTCAACTTCAGTTTCACTATTTAAAAGATATTTTAATCTTTATTTGCTTTTATGCTAACGTATTTCCATATTCTTGAGCAAAACTGAGATGTCATCTTAGGAAGAAGCCTCAATGTTACAATGGGTTGTACACCAAAAAGTCCTGCGTTTTTGTAGATTTCACTGCACTAAGTTTTCTCCTCTTTGCTGTCTGATGGTTGTTCATGTGTGTAGCAGCAAGAAACCATCAATCCCTGTCTCACAATTCGAACAAAAATACCTATGCATCGAACCATGTCTTCCCTGGATGACGTCACAGCAACAGCGCCCACAGTTGTCCGAGAAAGCATGGATGGTTTTGGTGGTTTAAAAGCATGCACTTTCAGTGTAGTTAGCCAATAGGAGCGTGTAAGTGTGTTTATACGTTGAACAAAAGCACATAAATGAAGAAAAATTGAAAGGCGGTCCTCAAAGCTTGTGCCGTATCCAATTTTCTCTTGTTATTCAAATTTGATGCCTTTATAAACAAAGGTTGTTGCGAGGGATAAGAGGCATAACTGACCGTGATGCATATGTATCAGAATGAAATGCAATTCACACTCATTCGTCATGATTGTATATAAGAGACATGTTGATTTTGTCAAGGTCTCGAAGAAATTTCAAGTCACCAGTACATAGATACTGCATGCCAAATGAGGGCGGTCTTCTTTACTACAGAGCAGAAAACATTAAAGGTTTCCTGAAATAGAAGGCTCTAACATCGAGAGAAGTATCGTAGGAGTTAATAAAGGCCCCACCATTTTCAAAACTTCCATAGTTTTCATGTCTATCTTGTAAATAGCGATCCCACATCGCAAAAAAATATGTAGCGTGCCCCCGCCCCCAAAACCCCCTTTTGCTCCGCAAGCATGAGATTAGGCGATGACGTCATCGGCAGAACACAGCATGCAGAGCACAGAAGCGCACATGGAATTGTGCACACGCTCGTACACGTACACGTACACGCGTTCGTTCGTTTACAGTGCATTCAACGAAAACATGGCAGAACGGAGCAGTTCATCGGAATCGTCGTCGGACAGCGAAGTAGATCGCGATTTTTCCTACGAATCGTATTCCGATGATAACAGAGACGAGGCTGGGCAGATAATGCCGTATATGTACGAACCAGAGGTTGAAAGCGACGACGATGATGGTGAGCATGAAATTGCTGGTGTGGACTACGACAATGAAGGACGGCTCAACAACATCAACTGGTAATTTCACTAAGCCTGTTGAAGATCACACTATTTGAAAAACGTAATTTGCAAAACTGTAAGGGAACCGAGGACTTTTTTTCTGAAAACCGTTGAGGTGTCATTTCGCCACGCCGTTGTGAAAAGTGTCATAATTGTATCGCCGGTACGAGGCTGTTGTGAAACTTTTACCGTGACGTTTTGCAGTGGGCTATTTGTGTCGGGAAAAGGTGGAGATTCCACATGTAGGGTTGTTATTCAGGGGGGTTCAGTCAGCGGTGCAGGCGATCTCGTTTGACATGTAGATGTGCCATGTTTTGTACATCATTACGTGACGTTATGACACATCGTTATGTGCCCATATCCATTTTGCCAATGCAAATAATTATTTTCGACAAATTTCCTAAAAATTCTGGCTTTGGGGGAAAATTCCATATAAATAAGACATTCCACCCCCTTGTGAACAAATTCTGCGAGACTGGTCTGAAAAGTTATGTTTTCATTGAAAATGCATGTACTTGCTACTCAAATTGACTTTTGACATGTACATGTAATTGAATTCTGGAGGTTTTTTCATTACTAAAGGGGAGACTGAGTAAACTTTAATATGGAGCTCTTCCTTTTTTCATTTTGGCTACAGGTGTTCCTGCGGAGAGTGTCAAATTATGCCAGCTGTTCGAGAATCTGTGTGCTGTAAGGAGATCAACCAGGTTGTTCAGAAAATGGACAACATTGAAGTGGATCTTAATTGCATCACAGAACATCCAGGATTCTACTCTGTTTGTCTAGATCAGTGGGTACTGGAAACTGCATACTTCCAGTATCGCCAGCAGTATGGCCAAGGACGACACAATGCAACTGAAAACCAGTGAGTGCAAGTAACCCTATCTAGTTTATACACGACATTTTATGTGGCCTGCATCCCATGAAAACAAATAAAACGCCTGGTGCAAGTGATTCTGAATGCTATATTTTTATACTTGATTAATGTATTGGTTGAATAGAGATAAAAATTGTACATTCAAATTATGTGGCAATAAACATTATGTGCTATCTACTACTTTTTACAGGAAAAACCGACACACAGCATATCGCCAGATGGCCAGATGGTGCTGGGGCTTCCTAGGACAAAATGTCAGAGTGCCCCTTCCTTCCTGTGCAGTCCACAAAATCCGGGAAAAGTACCCTTCCAATGAGTACAGAGGTTTTCAGGAGATATAGCTTAGAACCTCCGAGTCACGAATGTACATGCTAACTCCATTGTTTATTACATTTCACAAATACACATAGTAACAGCTTCGACCATTGACATTTGACAATCAGATGCAGCACAGATTGCTTAAGGACACTAGTTTTACTACACTGTGAGATGAAGCATCAAATATTAGTATCAACAACACCCTAATTCCACATCCTGCTAGTGTATACGTGTACAGTCCAAACAATCTAGCTGACCAACTTCAATCCAAGTCCATGTCACAAGGAAGATTCAGTGTAAACTGTACATCCTCTTCACATGTGATTCTGAAATTCTTGTATTTTAGTCACCGTACATGTACATGCTATCTTTACTTGTGTACCAGCATGTGCATGATGTTTTTAAACACTTACTAGGTATCACATTCATTGTGCGTTATTAGTTTGCAAACAATTATTGTGGTTCAATTATTCACTTAATTAACATTTGATAATTTACATGTATTTGCATTTCTTAGTCTGAATAATCCCTCACTGTCAATGATATCATACTTTGCAGGGTTTCCACAACAACTTTGGGGTTGTGTATATATACATGTAATTGTGTACCGTTATTAGATAAATGTTCACAATAAACTTTGGTAAATTTCACATATTTTGATTTGATGTACATGTCTCCAAATTTCTCTTTCAAACAGTGCTTTTTTCAGTAAATTGGCAACAAGACATTATTATGCAAGTTCAGAGTAGTTTGCAAAGATAGTACTGTAGCGGTCCGGCCCCCTAGCCGATCGCTCGGGGGCGGCGGTCCGTCCGCCACTGAAGGGGGAATTGGAGGCCAGGCAGGCAAAAAAGAAAGTTCAGCAGACACTGAAAGACTTGGGTGTTCAAGCGGACTGGATTTCGTTTATTTCGCCATCACTAGAATCACAACTGCATGGACAATTAACGCGGTGGTAATCTACGTGATTCCCGGCCGAGCCATCACAACGTCCATTCACCCATTCGTCTCGCACAGCACACCCCGCTCTTCCGAAAAACCTTGGAAACTCGCCCAACTTCAGTGCCGCCAAAAAGTATCACATTGTAGGCCACTTCCGGCCGACAGGCAAGACTTACAGAAAATCCATGTTCTTGTACTGTACATTCTGTGCACCCACGTGCGCCAATAATCACGCCTTGAAGACGTGCACAAGGTTCAAAGGTCACACAACTCGCTAAATTAATGGGGAACTCCCAGATCCCTACAGTACTAAGGGGTGTTTGTTGCACAGCACATGTTCATTTATGTAAATTGCACTCAAATTGGGTGACTGATATTTAGGAAGTTTCATAAAATCATCTTGCTTTCCCAGAAACTGTCCTTGGTGTTTACTTGTCACTGAACCGACTGCAATGTTGTTCGATCAGCTGTGTTTTTGTCGGATAGGTAAAGCCACTGGCCAAGCTTGGTGGTACCTTCTTCCTCTTCCGTTGTTTCTTCTTTGAGGACTTGTTGGCAAGTTTCGCCACCTCTCCCATCAAGTCTGCCACATATGCTACATTTCAGGAAATTAAATCAGATTGGATTTTACACTGTGGCCTTCAAATCAAATGTTGGTTTACATTGTATATCTCTTTATTCCAAAGAATAAAGATAATTGGAATAACAGTGGATATGTATCTTACTTCGTTTGACTGGCTCTTTGATTGGCTTTACTGTTGCTTCCCCCTTTTTGTACTTTGGCTTGCTGAGGCGATAACGCTTGACCCCTTCTTGTGTTGTCGCCTGCTGTCTGTCACTGTTCTCATTGTAGTGAAGCGCTGCGAGGTGAAGCCTTTAAAGTAGGGAAAAAAGCCTTAATTGAGACCGAATAACAGATAGTACATGAGTTTTTCGAAAAAGGGTCACATTTAGTGCATTTACTAAATGGCATTTGCCCCCCAAAAATGTACAGCAACATGTACCACGTTTTTACACAATCAAAAAAATAATTTTGTCCAATTTTAGTGTGGGCTGTGTATAATGACCTGTCTGCACACTATCGAGGAGATAAATGATACATACAGTTATGAATATAAGTATAATTATACAATTTGGAAAAGCCCTTCAACTCAGACATTAAAACCCGGGGAAAACAGTTGGAAGCCAATTACCTGCTGACAATACCTGCATGTGAAAATGCCTTCATCTTCGGCGCAAACTGATTGATCAGACTATGGAAGGACTCCAGAGATGAGGTCTGCTGAGAGCATGACATCTTGCGAATATCCTTCACCAGGCTTGTCTTCTCAATAATGGCACACACTTTAACACATGCCTCTGTACCTGTATTTTTTTAAATAAAAGTCAAGTTTTGATTCTATATCATTAGAAAACCTTGGGCATATCTGTAACTAGATGTCAAGAATACCACCTGGCGCAAAAATCGTTCGGCTAAAAAAACTTATTCTGCTCTGTCAATTTCCTGTGCAAGAAAGATATGATA